TATATTATTTTCTCAAGAATAATATGTGTAATGTGACCAAGAAAGAAGAAGCTTTGCAAAAGCTGCAGTATAACATGGGGGGCCAGGCATAACATAAGGGCTTGGCTTGGGTACATCGTTTCCCTGGTGCTGGCCTTTTTTTTTTTTTTTTTTTTTTTTTTTTTAATAACAACTCTCAGATAGATGTAGGGTTTAGTGAGATCCCATCTGGGAAAGTATATATGATAAAATGTCATATAACGAAAAGCTCACATACAATTAAGTGCATGTAAAATGGTGAAATGTGAATAAGTTCCATGGATGATATCAATGTTATTTTTCTGTTTGTGATATTGTACTGTAGTTACACAAGTTACCATTGAGGGAAAATGGGTAAAATGAGATAACTCATTTTATAAGATAAAATAACTCACTCTTGTTGTTTCTTAAAACAACACGTAAATCTAAAATTGTATATATATATGTGTGTGTGTGTGTGTGTACACACATTTGCGTGTACACACACACACACACACACACACACACATATGGTTTTTCTTGTCTAGGGAACTAAGAAAGCTCACTTACTTGAAACCTTGCTATGTGCCAGGCACTAGGCAGGTGGCTCTAGGATAAAAATACTTGATTTTTCCTTGATAGAAGGGTTACATGTTACATGTTGACCTGGTATCCTTTGTAGTTTAACAATTGTCCAATATCTTCATTTAAACCATGTATTATTATTACTAATATCTACATTATATACATTAAAGTAAGCCAGAATGGGTTTAGAAGACGTTGTTTACTTGAATTAGTTTTCTAGGTCCACTGTTACAAATAAACATAAACTTGAAAACTTAAGACAATACTTATTGATTCTTTTCAAAGAGTGTTCCATTAAGTCCAATCAAAGTGCAATCAAAACTGTTGGAGGTTTCTAGGAGAGGCTTCCCTTCCAGAGGCTCTAGGTAAAATCCATTTTTTCTTGCCTTTTCCAGTTTCTATAACTACATTCCTTGGATCTTTTCTCCTTCCTCCATCTTCAAGGCCAGCAGCTTAGCATCTTACTTCAGTTGTCACATTGTCTCTTTCCCTCATAGAAAGGTCACTTGTAATTGTATCTATAGCCCAACTGGATAATCCAGGATACTCTCCCATCTCAAAATTCTTAATTTAATCACACTTGAAATGTTTCGTTCCCAATTCAACATAATTAACATAACAATTTCAAGGAAAACCTGCAGGGTTGTGACTGTTAAAATGAAGTAAACTCATGCAGGAACAGCTGCAGAGCTAGCTCCTTTTTGTTTAAAATTGTAGTGAGAAAAACATTTGATGCTGTTACCTCTACTGGTTACATGTGATTAAGTAGTTGGGCCATGACCCATGCCAAGGACACTCAAAGTGCACGAGCATACCAGGCCATCAGACATAAGATCAGAGGAAAACATGGCAAACTATAGGTTTAAGTGTATGTGACATGAAGTAAAGGCTGAGCTGTCCTGCTGTGGACCATGAAAATTATTGGTACGGTGGTTATGTCATTTATTGTACTGTGTAAATCTACATTTATTTTATTGTTGGGATGATTCTTTAATTTTTCAATAAGAAATGAAAGCGCATATTGAATGGGTAATTCAATAACAAATTTCATTTTCTTAAGAAAGTTGGTGATAAACATTTATTGAACTTGCACGAAACGTTTGATGACATTTGCTATGCACTAAGGGAACTGTAATGACACTACTGACCTCATGAAAACCCAAATCTACAGACCTGCTGAAAAAAAAATTTGCATCTACTTCAGAAGGAAGTAGGTTAATTAGTACATACAGATGTAGTTGTGTTGACTTCTCATTGTATGAACACAACTTCTAATTTATATCAAATTATTTTTCTTCTAATTTAATTGCACAAATCTTGAATTCTAAGTTTTTGTGTGCATGTTTAAAGAGGAATGATAGCTGATAATATGTTGGCTCTATTAACAAAAGAACTCAGGATACAATTATTGATGATAGTTTATTCATTTATTTTTATCGATGAAAATTTAAAACCAGTATCATAAATGATTAAAACAGAAAACCTATTAATACCAACAGTGTTTTGATATTACTTAATCAAATTTATGGAATAATAACAATAATGATCAAATGCTTTTGAGGTTCATATTCATGAAAGGGAAACATCAAGCCTTGTTATGGATGACATTGTGAATTCAGTCAGAAATTCAACACTGAGGATAAGATTTTTGTTATATGGTGATAATGTGAATATACATTTTGGTAGAGCAAAACATTATAGAAGATCAATGTTTTGCTAAATTAAGAAATAACTAGCAGACACATAGTTAGAATTGATTGAGTCACACACATAATTCATAACTGCTTAAACAAGATGTGGCATTTTGCAAATCAAAACAGAAATGGAAGGGGAGGTGAACCATGAGAGACTATGGACTCTGAAAAACAATCTGAGGGGTTTGAAGCGGCGGGTGGTGGGAGGTTGGGGGAACCAGGTGGTGGGTATTAGAGAGCGCACGGATTGCATGGAGCACTGGGTGTGGTGCAAAAACAAGGAATACTGTTATGCTGAAAATAAAAAAAAAAAGAAATGGAAGTTTCCCATATTTACACATAAAAACACTCATGCACACATATACTCTGTGTGTGAGAGCGAGAATACACAGTAGAAGCTACAATATTGGCAATTTTTTAGTTCTCTGGTTGGGTGATGGTTTCACAAATGTGAAAGAGGAAAAGGGACAAACATGGGTTACTAATAAGAGTGTCGTGAACCAAGGGTTATGATGCATCTATGCTTCTGTGGTGCATTAAAAAAAATGTCTTAATGCTTCCCTTTTTTCTTTTTCACTGTCTGACATTCTACATGAGAACCGGTCCAATATTGGAGCGCAAGTTTCAAGTGTGAAGAGAAGTGAACAGAGAAGGTGAGAAGGAAGTAGCAGAAAAAAGGTTGGGGTGTAAGGATTTTTAGGTCCCTCAGGGACATTCAAGCAGTGGTATCCAATAGACAGTTGGCAAAGAGGGTCTGGGGCTAAGGGGAGGGAACAGCCTGGAGATGGAGCTTTGAGAATCATCTGTGCTTGGGGGAAATGAACAGAAATCATTCAGGGAGAGAGAACATGGGTACAGAGAAGAGGTCCAGGAACACAGCTGCTCAAGGTGGCAGTGCCGCTTCCTGGCGGTACTACTGTCTGGGCTCTGGAGTCAGGCAGAGCGGGTCTTGAAAGCAGCCTGTGGGACTCAGGTGTTGAGCGCTCCTGGCAAAGTCGGGTACCGTCCCTGTGATCAGCGGTCACACCTGGCAATGACGTATATCGCAGAGGGATGCAGTGCGAGGGCCTGAGATGCGCCAGGTAAAGCACCTGCGGTCTGGAAGCCTCCAGGCTCCTGCTCTCTCCTTGATTCCCCCTTTGCCACGCCGCCCCCCACCGTGTGTGGTTGCTTGGTGCCTTGGGGATGGGGGTAAGGGGGGCGGGGTGGGGGACCGAGCTCGGTGACGCGGCGCTCACGTGACTGGCTGGGCGCCGACGTGGGCAGCAGCCCCCGCGCCCGCCCGTTCGCCGGCCCTGCGGTCGCGTCCCTGCGCCCTCCGCTCCCGTCGCCCGCGCGGAACCAGCTCCCTGAGCTGCCCGGGCGGCGGGCGAGGGGTGAGCGGGCTTCGGCGAGCCCGAGGAGGCGCAGGCCTGCCCCGGGCCCCGCAGGTCAGTGTGAAGGTGGGCGCTGCCGGCGGCCCCGGTCAGAGGTGGAGGTGGATGGGAGTAGGATCCCGGAGCAGCGCGGAGTGGGATGGGGGTCCAGGAGGTCGGTGAGGAGGGGGGATGCAGCGTGGACGTGGGCAGGTGGGGAGGGAGCACCCCACCGCCGCCTCCTCGACGCCCCTCCTCCGCGCCCTCCATCCATTTTTGGACCTGAAATGCGGGGAGGTGCCCCCGCAGTGCGACAGTGAAATGTAGACATATTCTAGAAATAACCCTCTCTCACACTCTGTACCTAACAGGAAATACTGACCTCCGCGGAAAAGGGGAGAGGGTGGGCGGCATGCCTGCAGCGGAGGAGGACACAGACACCCAAACCATTTGGAAAGTTTGGAGTCTGAGGCCTGAAAAGTAATGTAGGCTGGGATTCCGAGGAGGTAGGGACGGAAAACGTTGTATGAGGAGGGCCCAGATTCAGCAAAGAAACCTTAGTAGGCTGAGTGCACAGGCCCTGTCCTTGTCATTGTCTGCACGTCTGGTGTCTGTCCCCAGTCTAGAAGGAAGAACCTGTCCAGAATCCCCACAGGACAGTGAAGGGGGGGAGGGGCAATGGACAGTGGTGGGGAGTGTAGAGGGTATAGCTTGGCCAGAATTTGATGTCCCCATTGCCACCACATATATTGCACACACCCAGCCACGCTGAAGGATGGTATAGAAGGTGGTAGGGCCTGCCGAGGAAATGGTTGGGAGGAATAGTGGGGTAAATAGTATACAGACGACACTTTGGAGGGCTGGGATTCAGAAAAGGGACCAGAGTCTTTGTGTATCCACTGAAGGCCCAGCCCACCTCTCCTGTCTGTCTGCAGTTCTGTGTGTTTGTTGTCTGCCCTCTACAAGGCTAGAAAAGGAAGAGATACCTGTTCTGAATTTCTGCAGGTCAGTGAAGGAAGGGGGTGTCTGGACAGGGACTTAGAGTGGTGGGGAGTGTGGACTGTTACAGCATGGGCAGAATCTGGAGCCCCACTACCCATCTCCCAGCAGCTTTACACTTTACCACGCTGAGCAAACAAAGAGAAAATGGCAGGACCTGACAGAGAAATGGTTGGCTCACCTGTGTGAGAGGAATGGTGGGAGGAGTGTGGCTGAAGACACACTTGAAGGACCAGGCCAACTTAAGGGATCTCAGACAAGGGGAGGTATGTAAATACTTCCCAGACATGCATTCCATCCCCAAGCCCTGAGTTTCCCTTGTCTGCTCTTCCTCGGTCTCCCAGGACAGGAAAATGAGGGGAATCTCAACATGGAAAAACTCTGCAATGGAAATGAAGGAATGCCTGAGAAACAAGGGAAGACGGAATACAAAGAACAGCCACAGGATGTGGGAAGGCCAGAATTAGCTTGTACTCTGGAAGACAAGGAAAAGTTAGAAAACAAGGGAAAGACAGAAAATGAGGAAATACTGAAGGACAAGGAAAGGCCAGGGAGTGTGGAAAAGCCCAAAGAGGGAAAGCCAGAGAACCTGGAAAATCCAAAAGAAGAAGGAAAACCCACGAGTGAGGGGAAGCCAGAGAGCAAGGGACAGCCAAAAGAAGGAGGAGCAGGGATCGAGGGAGAACCAAAAGAAATAAAATCAGAGAGTGAGAAAAAAAATCAGAGCCAATGAAAAGAGGGAAAGCCAGAGAGCCAGGAAAAGCCAAAAGAAGAAGAAAAGTCAGCCAGGGAACCAAAGGCTGTGGGAAAGCACCAGCTGGGAATGATGTACCCAGGCAGGCCAAAAGAAAAACCAGCATGGGGCTGGCTCAGTGTCTCAAGGAATATGAGGAGGCCATACACAATATGCATTTGAACAATGAGGAGATGATAAGAGAATTTGATGAGATGGGCAGGGTGGAGGATTAGGTGAAGGAAACCAGACAAATTGGGGGGGTGGTGGTTTTGAGGACACAAAAAAGTTTACAGGACCCTTTCCACCCTGGGGCCAAGAGAACTCAGGGGTGGATGCAGAGCCCCACAGAGGGACTTTGAAGACATTCCTTTTGTGTAGTGTCCCTGGCAAGCATTTGCCAGGTCCTGTGCCTTAACCTTATGCTAATAATTTGCTTTAGCTGTCACTCTCATTATCAGCAGCCTTTTGAGCCAACTAGAACACTCTATCAGTAGGGGTTTCCACCCATGTGCTTTGCAAAGTCATTTTAATTCTTGAAAAATAAAGTAGCTTATAATATCATCTACAGAATCAGTCCACCTTTGTAGAAAACATAAGTTTATATAGTACATCTATGCACAGGAAAAATAGAAACTTTTGTTCACCAAAAGGTTAACAGTGGTTCTCTGAATTATAAGACTGTTGGTGACTTATTTTCTTTGTTTTGTTTCTACTCATATTTTTTCCCTAAAGAACATAGACTACTTTTCTCATAAAGAAATACTAAAATATAAAAAGAAAAATAATACACAAAAGAAATACAAATATCTGTTCAGTGAGTTTATGAAGGCAACGGAGACACTTAAATTTCTTATCAGAACTTAAAACGATGTGTAAAGCTCACATTCATTATCTCTAGGACTCATATTTAGGGGAATCAACCTGGCAGTTACTACAGACCCATTGCTGTAAAAGACAGTTTTGTCATTTGTGAAATGGGAATAATACTTGCCTCATAGGATTGCCTAGTGGAATAGATGAGGTGCTGAATATGTGAGCTGTGCTGGTCTAGTTTCTACCTTTTCTCCTACACTGGCAGGGACCAAGACACCCCCCCCCCATCAGACACTTGAAAGAGGGATAAGGTACAGCTTACCTATGCTCAGAAATAAGGCCAAAAGGTGGGTGCCAGCCTCCCCTGGGTACTGCCATGTCTGCTAGATACTGTGCCTCTTCTCATGAGTTCTGCATACTCTTAAGGCTCCCACTGCTGCTGATGGGCTGGTGTCTGCAAGGTGACAAAGCCCAGTCAATTTCCTTGGAGTCCCCACCATCCCCAAACCTGTCTCACACCATGTCACCTATAGAGGTAAGGATAAAGCCTTTTTCCTCTCTAGAGTTATGTTTACCCAAGTGGGTTAACACCTCAGTGATACTTTGGCCCTTAACGGATTTCAGATTTTTTTAAGCAAAACAATCTTTTCTGTGTTTGTTGCTTTGTAAGTATGTTTTTGCATACAACTATCTCTCTACCGAATTCAGATGTGGGAGGCTGGAATAAAATCTTAGTGGCACACACTGGTTGTCCCATCTGTCAGTGCCTTGTCTACTTGATTCCTCTTTCCTTAGAGGAAATTGTCTCTTTGGAAACTCTTGCCAGGTGCAGCCTTACAAGATTAACACACCTTCCCACACTTAAGGTTTTTAGAGCATGGCTACTCAAATAGTGGCCAATGGATGAGCTGTATCGACATCACCTGAGAGAGAGTTAGACATGCAGAATCTCAAGTCCTCATCCAAGACGTACTGAATCAGAATCTTCATTTAACAGTATCTGTAGCTGATTTCTGTATGTATTAAAGTTTGAAAAGCACTTTTTTAAAGGAGACCTTACCGAACCTCCCCACTTCCACCTTCACATGAGATATGTGCCCAGAATAATAAATACATGTACTACATAAGATATGTCATATTATCTTTGTTAAACTGTGTTAACCGTGTAAACTGTAGTTTAACTGTATTAAACTTTGGTTCCACATTCCCTGCATTAATAGACCTTAAAACAATTTTAGTGAGTCAAGACCTGCAATTTATTAAGACAGTAGGGTAAAACAAAACTGATTAGAGCCAAATAGTAAATAATCAGGTTATATCACATCACAGAAAGGTAAGGTGAGAATTGTTTTGTGAAATTCGTGTTTCAGTTATGTATATGTATGTTCGTATATCCTGAGTTGTGATGAAAAATGTATTTATGATTGTGGACTGACACTTATTTAAAAAACTGAGAAACACCGCAGTGGACTCTGCTTCTCAAAGCACAATCTTTCCTTTCTATCCTAGTACCTCTAATGCCTAGCACAGTGTCTGACAAGTCACAGGTTCTTAATAAATTTATAAATAAAAATAGTTGTTCCCACCCCAGATAATTTCTTATCTAGATAAATAACTGTATACTTCTCTAGCAGGGTTTACTTGCAGTTCCAAATGGAACACCATGTAGAAGTATATTACTATAAATTTAACCCTATCTCATTCTATTAATGCTTGCATGTTTTTAAAGTGTGCTAGTCTGCCACATGTCAGAATCACTGGGGGATTCTGTTGAAAATGTGAATTCCTGACCCCTACCTCAGATCTACTGCTTCCTATGTGATTCTGATTCATCCTGAAGGCCAATGTCCACTGACTTAGATATTCATTATGAACTCAGTCATATTAAGTGTGAACCACCAATAGGTAAGCAGAAGAAAATAATTGCAACATCTATTTCTGAGAGGGATGGGAGATGAAGGTCTTTCTAAAGTATAAAACAAAGTTAGGGAATAAGAATACATAAAGGCCCTGTACCCCTGGGGATAAAAATATATGTTTATAAAAAATAAAAATTAAAAGAAAAGAATACATAAAGGCAAGGATTAATATATCTATTGAAGAGAACCTGAAAGAGTCTTCAGAGCAAATCATATTTATAAACAAAAGGCAAATGGAAGGCATCTCATTGTGTAGTTCCTTCTTTAGATGCTATGATATCTATAGCAGTTAAACAGTTCCATTGCTAAAGAAGGCTCATGGGACTTCAAATGTCAATGCTTGCAAATCCATAGTTTAGTGTTGAAAAAAAGATGCAGTATAGCAACAGCATTAAGGATATGTGTCACAACTAAAAGCCATTTCATAACGAGGGGTCTGGAGTGGCCAGCTCCAATTGTCCGCCCTCTCTATAGTAATCCTGGCAGTATGTACTTCTTCTTTTGGGCCAGGAACCACTGATGTGTACACAGAATACCTCAGAACCAGAGAGCACAAATGGAGTCTCTGCCCAGGATTCTCCTACACTGCTGGTTATGTAGGCATATCCTTGCTATGTAGCCAGCTTCAACAGCAGAGCTCTTGGTGGGAAGGTTCACCAAGACCAGGTGCAAATAATCAACCTTTTTCTTACCAATAAACAACAAGCTGGTACAAAACATCCATAACTCTTCAGACTTGTGGTTACAAAACAATACTCTTAGTATCTTTAATGCCTTTACCATAGGACAGTATTACACAGGGTCATTTCTTATTTCAGTAGAATAGGTCAGACAAATCCCAGTCTTATTTGGATTAACCCTCTAATAACAATATGCCTTTTAGTTTCCTCCTTAAAATGTAAATAAAGCTGATGGTGTACCCTTTTTCACTGCAGGCATAATTCCCAGTGACTACTACTAATATGACTCTCACCCGGTTGATGGATTTGTCTCCATCTCATCTGGATTCACTCTCCTCCCTTTCTGTATCCTGGGAAGTCTGACATGTATGAACTATATCAAAGGACTCCCTTGTCCTTTGGGAACCAGCAGTGAATAATGTGGTCAGGAAATTTTCCACCCAGTTTGTTTTCTGCATTGTCACCAGACGCTGAGCTCTTCTCCAAAGGTTTCTGTAAGATGGCCCTCTTAACATAAGTTATGTGTCTCCAGCTTTTAGTAAATCTACTCTCCCTTTGTCTCTCAGGTGTAGGCCTGGTAATCCTACATTTACTAGCCATGTAGTACTGCGTTGTTCCTTGCAGCTCTCAAATACTCTTCCCACACCATTGTATATTGTCCTTTAAAAAAAGAAAAAAACCTGGGGCACCTCGGTGGCTCAGTGGGTTAAAGCCTCTGTCTTCAGCTCAGGTCATGATCCCAGAGTCTTGGGATCGAGCCATGTATTGGGCTCTCTGCTCGGTGGGGAGCTTTCCCCCACCCCACCACCTGCCTCTCTACCTACTTGTGATCTCTGTCTGTCAAATAAATAAAATCTTTGAAAATTAAAAAAAAAAAAAACTCTCACATTTTCTAATGTGAATGTGCCCCCTGTTTTCTGCCATGCACTTGTCAGATATAATAGTAAGTACCAAAAGTTACTACAGGAATTGGGTTGATCATTTGAAGAGGGAAAAATAACCTCCTTACAATGGGGGTAAGGAGAGTGGAAAACAAGTGTTAGGAGAGATTCACTGGTACATGGCATGTATCAGTATCACAGTCAAATTAACACCCTTGGTGGCATGGAATGAAGTATAGGAATCCAAGGTTTTGGGAAATCGGATGTGACATTTAAATACTGTATTGAAAATAAGTATCCAAAAACTTGTGGAGGTATCTTATGGTCCTAAAAAGTGTGCATAGGGAAAAGAGAAAATTGAAAGCTGTGAAAATACAATAGAAAATACATGTTGAACACTAGAAAGCTTGCATGATATATAAAGCTGAGGACCAAGTCAGGGTACTCATAGTGTCACAGAGTCCCATTGCCTATTAAGTGTTCTACCTGCTATGGCTTTTACAATAAGGTAAGGATGCAAGTAGGGAAGGAGTGGAACCCTGATATGTCAGATAGGGACATTTGTGTAGGCATGCTCTAAAATATAAGAAATGAAGTAGTGAGAGGGTCACCAAGCATCTTTGAATGTTTCTGTGTGTCTGTGCTCTGGAGGCTGGAGACAATGGTAGAGAATGCGGCAGTGGAACCGACTACTTGATCTTAATGTGAATAAAGGGATACCAGAGTGGTGGAGGTCAGGTGACAGTACTTAATCATATAAGACAAGGTGAAAGCAACTACCACAATAAATCACAGGAATGAAATGATAATTAGAGGATGTTTGAGCCACAGGGATCTGTGGTGATGGCTAATCAGAGAATTCCAAAAAGTGAAATAATTGGACATGCTATAGGATGATGCTCAATGTATTTCAGGCAGAAAAATTCTAGATCTGCTGGAGAGTCTAATTTGAGTTGCTGTGGTGGGGTTTCTCAACTTCTTACCCAACTGAGGGGAAGGCAGGACCCTACAGCCACAGGTGTATACTATAAATCTTCCATTCAACCTTTCCCAATGGGACCTGCAGATATTTTTTAGGGTGACTG